CCCCAAAACCCCAAAACCCCAAAACCCCAAAACCCCAAAACCCCTACAAACCTCCACAGAACTGAACCTTATCTACAATCTATTATAACTGATTCTGGAAAGTCTCTGCACTTGGAATGTCTTGATTATCTGCAGTAAAATGAGGATGAAGTTGAAGATCAGGCCCATTACTGCTAGCATCCATGCGTCCTGACCCACTGCAAATTCGAATATAGTAACGATACAGAGGATTATTTCAATTATGGTCAGGACTAATGTGAAATTGGCAATGTTGTTCAATGGCTTCACGAAGAAGTAATGGTCTGAGAAACTTGCACTTGTAGAAAGCGTTCCAAAGACTCTTGAGTAAATTATACGTACGAAATTCACTCCCACTATGAAGCTTGTGGAGATTATTAGCAGGTATGAGATCTTGAATTTTCTGTACTGGTTCCTGAAGTGAGGAGAATGGATGAATATAGGCTCGAGGAATAAGTTGTAGAAGAATACACCTAAAACCCCTGTGGTAACTATGTCCATGAAGCACACAGCAAATGAGAATATTTTGGCAGCTGCCCAAAGATTAGCCATTAAAAAGACTCTGTCAATAAATTCGATGAATGTAAGATAGGCATATAATTCTTCAATTGGTTTAGATGTTCTTCCTTTGATTAATGAGACTATCAAAGATGCTATAATCACAATAACTGCAGCAAATCAGATAATCAAAAGAATAATTATAACAGGGGATAAAATATCAAAAGCGCTCCTTGTGCAGGTGTTCGTATCAGGATCTTCAGTGTATGGTCTTCTACAGTTTAGCACTCATTCTCCAGAGGTTAGATATAATTGTCTTCCTCCTTCTGTTTTATTACAAGTAATACATCCACTGGGTAGATTTGAACTGCAAGTCTTACAAACTCTATTACATGCAGGTCATGTTCCTGTAGTTGGATCATAATATCCTCCAGATGAGCAAGAGCTAAGGCATTTGAAGGTAGCCCAATCAAGCAAATTTGAATCAAAGAAGTCCCAGCATGAAAATCATTTATCGGCAGCAAGCTCGCAAGACTTGCATCTACTTGAACATGGCAAACAAGATTTAGCTTCAGTGTCTACATACATAGAGTCTCCACAGCATCCTTGATCACTACAAACACATTGACCATTAGTTGGATTTACAATAGGGGTGTTTCCTGAAGGACAAGTCAAGCACCAATTAAGATCTTTAGAACAAGTTTGTCAGTTTGAGTTACAATTTCCATTAGATGGGGTACTTTCACATTGATTGTCAGAATTGACTTGAGTATTCTTGCTGCATGATGTACCTCAGGAGCCGTCTTCAAAGTAAAAGTCTGTATTACAAGTCACACAATCATTGCTATTAGGACCAGTGCAGGTTGCTCAACTATGATGACATTTATAACAAGTCTTATCTTGAAGGTAATATCCATTACTACAAGCTGAAACACAAGTATCATCCTGTAAGAAGGGAATGTCAGAAGGACTTTTGCATGAATCACAAGAAGTAGCTGTTCCAGAGCATGTTAAACAATTCGAGTCACAAGTTGAGACAGGATCAACAATTGTAACAGGTGTATCAACGTCTTTTCCAGCAATAGGGTTATCACTTGGAGAGAATATTTGAATTTTAAATGTCCCTGTATCTCCTGTTGTTGATGGGTTTTTGAATAATCCTATCTTTACACCGAATTGACCTGTATTAGTAGCTGAAGGGAATAGCCCAGTTACCTTTACAGTAACAGCTCCTCCACTTGAGCCGATGCTGCAAGCAATTGTAACAGTAGATGCGAAGATATTGGAACAAGTATCAAATGCAGCAGCTCCTCCTGAATTTGCAGTAGAAACAGTTATTGAAGTTGGAGCAGTGATAACTACATAAGAGTTTTGAGGAATTGTGGTATCAGCAGTGAAAATGACATCATAATTTGTATCTGCATTTGCTGAAGGGTTCTCTGGATCAATAATGACATTAGAAACTGGAGCGATTTCTAAAGCAGAAAATAGATTTTCAACTGTAGCAGTAGTTCCTTGGTCAATAAGATAACCAGCAGAAGTATAAGACGCCATTGTTATACCAGTTGTAACTGTTGTTTGTGAAGGAGGATTTTTAACCCATTCAACTTTAATATTAAGCAAAGAGTCTACTGCACATCCAGAGGCAGAGCAGACTGAGTTAAATCTAAGAGTGTTTATCGCACCACTAGAATATAGTGCCTTTACAGTAGCAATACTCGCTGAATTATTGGTGAGTAAAGTAACAGTTAAATCTTCTCCCATGTCATAAACAACATCATCTGGAATGGTCATCAACAAGTATCCATCTGAGCTTAGTGTGTTTGACGAGAATTTAAGATAAATTGTTAAATCAATTTTTACATCAACTGTGTCACTTGTTCTTGTAATTTCAGGTGCAATATAGCTTAATGCATCAGGAAGAAGAGTGGGAGTTGCAGAGATGGATGAGCTGATGCCATCAATAAAGTATACTCCTCCTGAAAGACCACTTTTTATTGTAAAAGAATCAGATGCAGTGAGAGGATCTTTAATCCATCCAATATTTTTCATAAATGAGCTCTTTAATCAAATATTAATAGTCGATCCTCCTGTGCAAGCTCTTCCAGATGCAGTAGTTCAATAATCATGTATTTGAACAGTCCTTGTGTCAGAATTCGCTGTGCAAGTAACAGTAGCTCCTGTGGATCAATCAGTAGCACTACATGATAAAATTGTGGCTGTTGTGTCTATTATAGCATCACTCTCAGTAGGCATAATGAATGTAAATACTCCATTTGAGGGGACATCATTTGCAACTTTGAATGAGAATAAGAAATTTGTATTTCTTCCAACTTTTAGTCCATCATTGTCTGAGTTTAGAGCATCTCTTGTCACTGTAGCATCTGTGATAGATCCGAGGCCAGATACAGAATAAGTGAATCCGCTTGTGACTCCATCAATGCTATAATATGTTCCTGAGACTTGCTCTTGAGAATATATCACAAAGGAATTAGTTGGCTGAGTATTTGAAGGATTTGTGATACTTGCAAATGTGACTGTTATTTCTTGCCCAGCAACACTTGATGTTTGAGAATGAGTTGCAATAACAGACTTCCCAGCAACAGATCATGCCATTGAGTTAGATCCTATTGTAGCAGTGCATCCTGTTGAGGTAACAGTAAGATCACTTGGAATTGTCAAGGAGATTTGTCCATTACTTGCTTTGTTTGGGAAAGTGTATACAGTGGTAAACTTCACAATCAAGCTACAAGTTGCTTTAATAGTATCACACCCTGAGTTATCAAAAGCAGTGTTGATGAAAGGATTTGGAGCAATTGTAATAGTGTTTGAAGTAGACCCATATCCAATATCACTACTTGATGTTTTTGTAATTACATAGAAGCTTTCTCCAACATTCTGGGTATTCTCTCTAATTTTAATGTTGAATTGGAAGATCATAGCTGTAGTTGAGAGACATGCGCTTGCATCTCATGGGTTCGTGACAGAAATAGTAGTAATGTACCCTCCAGATGTTGAATATGTGCAGGTCAAAACACTTGCTGAAGGAGTGATTTGAGAGCAAGATTGAGTGGTTGGTAAAGAGGCAAATCCTGTTGGGAATCCGAATTCAATTATTGCTCCAGTAGGTAGACCTGAGCCTGGGAGGAATCCATAGCTAATCACTGTTTCAGCATATACTACTGCTGAAGTTACTTCCAATGCATTTACAGTCACAGCTACTCCTTCAAGATCTGGAGTTGGCTTTAAACCGCTATACATTCCATCAATTGGATATGAAAGAGCAGTTGCTGTGAGAACTTCCCAACTTGTTGTTGCAATATTTGCTGAGAGTCTGGATGGATTTGTCACTGATTGAATATAGAATGAAATGGCGGTACCTCCAGCACAATCAGCTCCTCCTGCTGTACACCATTCATTAATAGTGACAACATAGTAGCTTCCTATTGTTTGTGTAGAACAGGTTAGAGCAGTTGACAGATCTCCAAGAAGACAAGCAGCAGGAACTCCAGATATTTGGTCTGTAGGCATTCTTAATAAGATTTTTCCTCCATCAGGGAACGGATTCTTAGTCGTGAAAGAAACTGTTAAACCAACTGATGCACTTAAAGCTGTATCATTCCTGGTTATTGTGGCAGTAACTGGAGTTGGAAGAATTTCAGTTACATCTGAGTTTGGCTTGATATCTCTATTTACTACTGCTCCAGTTGAATCTGTAGTGTATGAAACAAAATTTCCAGTTAATGGCTCAACATAGTTTGGATTTTTAATTCCTCCAGCAATCTTGAATTGATAAGAACCAATTGCACAGGCAGTTGTACAAACAGAAGTAAGCTCAAGTTGAGTCAACCAAGTGTCAGTCCCATCATAAGTTGGGGATACTCCAGCGACTGTTGTTCCAAAATCGGTTCCAGTAGTGGCTGCTATGGTTGAGGATGAATCTTTGTAAATTCTCTTATCTGGGAAAGTAAAAATGACTTTTCCTCCAGCAGGAATCTCTGATGTAGTATCAAATGAAAACACATATTCAGTTGTACTTAGTGTGTATCGCTGGTTTTGATGAGTGATCACATGGTTATTCAATGCTCCGACTTCGAGATCCGGAGAAGCGTTCAAGGGTGAGGGAGCTTTGAATATTGCATTTGATGAAGGTGAAATGAAGTTGATTAAGAATGGGTCTGTAGTCACTGCAGATACAGCTGGGTTTTTAGCAGAAGATATTATTATTCCAAAGGCTTGACCTGTTGCTCAATTTCCTGATGTGCATTTCCACTCATTTATAGTGACATAATTGTAGGTCGATGTAGCAGTCGGAGTCGCACTGCAAGTCAAAGCAGCATTGTTAGATGAATCTACACATGTAAATGCTGAACCATCGAGGGCAATTTGATTAATTGGGAGTCCAATCTGTATTGTTGATGCATCAAGTAGAACTCCAGGTGTTGTGAAGGATAGAGTGAATGTAGAAGTAGCACCTTGAGATGTTGCAGATCTCACAACTGTTGCAGGAGATAGCTCACCAGCTGTCAACGTAGTTACAGTGCTCAGATCTAAAGTTCCTGTTCCAATGCTTTCAGTATCGGATGCTTTTGTGGAATAAGTAAGGGTTCCAGTAAATGCTTTAGCTTCAAGAATATTTCTCACATTATGAATTCTTATAGTGTATGTTGAAGTTGAGTCACAAGCACACAGTCCTTCAACTTTTAAAGCTGATAAATATCCTGATGTGAAAGTTGAGGTACATGTGATGGCTGTTGCAGTCCCACTAACAACTTTAGAGCATGTCACAGAAGAAGTTGACTCTAGCAAGAATTCTGCACTAAATGCAAGCTGAACAAAGTCACTAGCCAGGACAGTGGATCCAAGTACAGCTGAGATATCAACATAGCCATCTTTAGCAACCGTAGCACTTTCAAAGCTTACAGCAATACTGTTGATAGTAGCTTGTTCTATTGAGGGAGTTGCAACAATGTTTGCAGTAGATTTATCTATTTGGTAAAGTTGGTCGGGAGTTCTTGACTCGTATATAACATAGTTTGAAAAAGAAGAAACAACAGTCCTTGGATTCTTGAATCCTTGAGTAATTGTGATCTCCATTGTTGTACCATCAGCACAAATAGCTGCTCCCCCATTACAGAACTCTTGATATTCCAAGACTACATGGGTAGAACTAGTAGAGACAACTGTCATTGCATTGACTGTGCTTGATGATGATTGTTTGTATTGAATTGTGTCGGTTGTCCTAGCAAATTGATCTAGTGGTACCATCACTCTAATATAAGAACTAGCTAAGATTCTGTTTGTTAGAGTAACACTTGCAGTGATTTCTGTGTTGGCATCAGCTTGAGCTACAGATCTTACAGCTGTTCCAGTGCATGTGTTTGTTGTTAAAGTTTGTAAAGCAGTGGCACTAGTTTCAATTACTATATCAAGGACATCATTATTATAGTAAGTGCTTGTTCCATCGTATCCTTGAGTAGCAGCAGTTATTGTCCCAGTTGGAGCTTTAGTGCTGAATGGATTTTTAAACCCAGTAAAGGTAACAGTATAAGCTCCGGCTGCTCAAGTATTTGAGGTGCATGCCATTGGTACTCTTACAGTAGCAACTTCATTTCCGTATGAGACTGCATTATAAGTTGCTGCTCAACCAGTTGTAGCATCTGCTCCATTGAAGGTGCATGCTAATGAGGACCCTTGATAAAGGAATCCTGATGGCACAGTGAATGAGAAGAAGACTCCATTAGCTTCAGTTATACTGTTTGTGGTAATAAACTGAACAGTATAAGTTACTTCAGCTCCAACTACATTTGAATCTCTAGAAATTGTCACTGAAGTCAGAGGTCCTGCCTGAATACTTGGGGTTGCCATTAAGGAAGATGTAATGCTATCTATGATTAAAGAAGCGCTTGTATCAACATATATCTTAAATGAGTTTGAAGGAGGGAATGTACTTGTAGGATTCTTCAGGCCAATGGTTCTAAATCTGATATTTTCACTTCCTGCAGCACATGCGTTGCCTCCAATTGATCACCATTCAGTAAATATAACAGTAATATAAGTTGCACTTGAGGTTACACTTGTTGGAGTAAGAGCACTTCCAATTGTTCCGGTAGATGATACTTGGAAAAAGGTTAAAAGACTTGTGCTTGCTACATCTAATTGCACTTGATCTAGAGGATATTCAACTTTAATTGATGAACCAGAAAGTATAGGATTTGCACTGGTAGTTTTGATGTCTAGCTCAGTTGCTGTATTAATCAAAGAACTACTCAATCGAGATACAGACGCACTAGTTAATGTCCCATACACATTTGGCTGTATTCTAATATTTGTAAGATCTTGATCAATGTCATAAGTTGTAGATGATTCAGTTACAGTAGATTTGAAAGTTATTGGGCTACTTTGAACTCCATAAGTCGGGTTCTTTACTCCATTAATGATTGTTATCAATAAACTCGAAGCTGCAGCTGGTGTTGAACTAAATGTAGCTGTTACTGTGTTAGCACTATCACTTAAAGTACAAGTATGACTAGTTGAAGAAATAACTGCAGTGCAAGTTCCTCCTGCTTGAACAGCGATTTGAGAAGGGAAAGTAATCACAAATTTCCCCCCAGAAGAAGGAATTGGATTCTTGAGGACGATAGTAAAACGATACTCAGGAGTTGCTCCAACAACTATACTGGTAGTTGGAGCATTGGTAGTAACTGATGTAAAAGAGTTGGAAATAAGAGTAAACCCATTGGTAGTGCCTGCAGTTCCTGAATCGATAACATATCCTTCAGTTGTTTGCGTTTGAGCCTGGAAACTAGTTTGAAGTGGTTTAGTTGAACCTGGATTATATACTTCTTCTATTTCGAAGAACATTACATTTCCAGCTGCTCATCCAGAAGTACAAGCTGAAGTGATGGTTATAGTTTGGACATTATTTGCAGAATCTGAAGTACTTGTACAAGTCTCTGCAACAGAGGTAGCGTTTTTACAAGTAACTTCTGTAGATGAAGCTTTATAGACTGCTTCACTAGGGAGTGTTAGAATAATCTTGCCATTTGCAGGAATTGCAGTCACAATAGAAAAGGTGATATTGTAAGAAGTCTTCTCACCAACCTTATTTGTTGCTAAATCTTTTGTAACTGAAAATGATGTCAGAGTCCCTGGTGTGAGTGTTGGACTGAACTGCACTCCACTCGTTATTTGGTCAATAGTTGGAGATCCTGTCAATTGGACATTCGTGGTCTTAATGGTCACTGAAGAAGTGAGAGGGCTCACAATCCAACTTGGGTTTATAGCATTAGCAAGAGTGAAACTTAGGGTAGATCCAGCAGCTCATTCAGCACCAGCATTACACCACTGAGTGATGGTAGTTTGGAAATGAGTTGAGCTAGAATCAGAGAGTGTACAGCCGAGGTTATTTGATCCATTGAAGCAAGCTGTACCTGAATTATATCTGACTTGATCGAATGGGAATATCAGAGTGATTGTACTATCACTTAGCAATCTTGAGGTGAGGGTAAAAGAAAGAGTATAACTTGCTTGTAAAGCAACTTGAGTCGTTGCTGAAGGTCTTGAAGCTGTACCAACAGTAATGCCTAACACAGTAGTTGTATATGTTATTCCTGTAGTTTGCTGCATGATTATGTTGTTAGATGAATCTAAAACCTCAAGTTTCCATGAAGATGTCGCCATCGCTCCGAGTGGATTTTTAAAAGTACCTATTGTATACAAATGCACTGTGTTTGTATAATAAGATAAAGTCATGTATTTATTTGTGGTATCAACAGTGCAAGGAGGAGAGTTTGCAGTAAATCCAAATATCATTGTGCATGTCAATACTCCACTTGTCACATAAGTTACTTCAGTTGGCCAAGTGATTCTAAGGAAAGAATTTGATGGAGAAATATCTGTGTTTTCATAGATTTGTAAAGTCAACTCAGAATCAACATTGGTCGTACTAGGAGTTATAGATTGTAAAGAGATTGTTCCTGGAGAAGTAGAGGTTACTGTTAATCCTGAAGCTTGTTGATCTATTGCATTTGACAATGAATCCAGAGTAGTAATTGTGAAGCTGCTTGATTCAACCTGTGCTTCTGGGTTGTTCAAACTTTGAATTGCAACGACAATATCTTGTGCTTGGGGTGTAATGGCAGATGATGAGGTAAGTCCCGAAATGGTAAACTGTCTAGATATTTGTTCAACTGAGGTTGTAAATCCAGATTTTGATTCTCCATATACAGTTACTGATACTAGTCCATCTGCTGAGCTAAGTTTAAAGTTTACTTCGCTAGGCCAGTTGATTCTGATAAGACCATTCACAGGAATCTGATTGGTGATTCTGAATGTAAATGTCATCGTAGTCGGGGTTCCTGCAGTCTTCGCAAGATTTGTCGCAGAAGCTGAAGCTAATGAAGCAGCTGTGTAAGTAATCGTATCATGAGTAGATATGGTTGCAGATCCTGCAGAAACTCTAAAAGGGTCTAAGAATCTAACAGAATCTGGATTCTGAAGAATACTGCCTGTGGTCAAGCGTATAACAAAAAGCCCAGAATATGACTGCCCTAATGTAAAGGTAAGAGTCCTTGATCCCCCATCATTTGAATTATAAGTGCAAGTAGAGACTGGGGAGTTGACTACTCCTCCAGATCCAAGAGTTGTAAGTGATCAAGTTGTTGTTTCACCAGTATTTACACCGCTAACAGTGATGCCAGTTGGAATTGTAACTTTGATAGTGTCTCCTGAATTTAAACTAGATATTAAGCAAATGGTTTACCTTGAGACTCCAGTAATCTGAAATTCGTAAGAAGTTACAGTGTTGATTACAGTAGCAGTTGGGGTGACTCTAAGAACCTGAGCTTGGGAATATTGCATCAGTCAAACAGATATAAGTAAGATCATAATCCAAGATGAGAAGCTTGATTTTATTCGATTCTTACATCTAGAAGATTGCATAGTTGCCTTCGATATTTATTATAAAATTCAAATTTATTTATTCTTTTAGGGGTTTTGGGGTTTTGGGGTTTTGGGGTTTTGGGG